AGAAATCAACTACGTGATATGTGCCTCCAATTAAGTGGGGTTCCCAGAGTGATCCAGCATCATCTGATGATACTGCTCCATGTGTCCTGATGTAACGCAACACAAGCGGCAGAAACAACCTTCTCTGTTCCCACCACGACCAAATACTTTTGACACCAGAGAGCCTTTTCATACTTCCCTTTAACCCGTTACTAAAATTTCAGCGCAGCTCTAGTATGTACCCTGACAACCGTCCTCAGCACAGCAGGAAAGTATCACGCACCTATTCTGAAAGGCATGCCTTCCTTGTAACTTAAATATAGAAAGATTTTCTCCATCTTCCTCTTTTCAAGAATTTCCGAAGAGCTGTATAGAAACCTTACAAACTGACCGACAGCAAACAGAGACAACAAAAGGTAGAAGTCCCTAGATTTAAAATAGCTCTAAGTTTTGAAAGTGGACCCATCAGGGTGAGAGTAGAGAGGAGATGTCATGCAACCCACTGATTTTGCCTGGTATTTGCTTGTATCACATAAGGAAAATAATGGACGGTGTTTGATTAAAGCCATACGTCCGGTCTATTATGAGGAACGGTTTAAGAAAACCAGTCGATTCTCTGTCGGAACTTCCTATGCAGTGGGAGCCACGCTGGCTCCTTCAGAAGGCTGTGCCTGGGACCCGGGGCACCAGGGAAGCCCTCAAATTCAGCTCTGTGCCCGCCCGAGCCAGCTCCCGCTGCCCAGGAGTTCCATGGTGGACGGTGCATCAGAGCCACCTGAGCCATGAGTACTTGGCAGATAAACAGATTATTACTGCAGCCTCGAATAGGGCAGTTCCCAGGGGCTATCAGACCTTCGCTGAGCACAAAATCATTTTGTATTTTTGTTTGTATGAACAAAGAATTAAAGAAAAAAAGTCTGCACCCTGACGATCCAGCCTCCTTCAGCGTACACTGAAGAGTCTCCTGTGTCATGACAGACTAATTGCATGTGTTAAGGGAAGGCTGTTACTTTGGCTTTTTCCACCGTACATCAAAAAAACCTGTGTTTGATTTTAAAGCACGTACCCTTACAAATATGGAGGGAATCGGCTACAAAGGGACCACACAAGCTGTTCCAGTCTTCCACAGAAGTCTGGGGGTTTTTTAAGTGTAAATACACAGCCACCTCTTCAGTTTGCCCTTTCATCTATTCCGAAACACTTCTTAACACACACACACTTCATTTTCTAACTAGCTGATCATATACAAGTTTTGGGTTTGCAGCTTTGAAGCGCTAAAAAAGATGAAGGTAAAACACAACCTTGATCCTGGAACAGAAGTCAGCAAGGATATCGTGGGTGTCTCGCAAGTCACTGAGCTGGGAAGAAAGAAGCCTGTCGTGACCCTGTGTTGAAACCCGATCTAGTTAAAGAGGCACATGGATTACCATTTATAGCGTTTCTCAGGGGCTGGGGTGAGGGGCAAGGAGGGCGGCAGACAGCTCTCCGTCTGGCTGCATGAGCCACTAGCTGCCAGGAAGGTTATAAAACATGCAGATGCTAGGCGCCAAGGAACAATGGTTTTCCTCCCCCTGGTGCAGTGCACCTTCCATGCCACTGCTGTGTTAAGCACCCCAAAAGCACACGTCTCTTCAGGAGAACAGCAGTTCTGTTTGTTCACAGGCTGGGAAGAAAGGATAAAAGACTGGAGACGGGGGAAGAAAAGGCAGGCAGATTTTTGTCTGACCCTGCAGTTAATCCCCAAAATCCGTGAAGATACATTGATACGGCCATGCAAGGTACTGCTTTTCTCCCAAAAACAACATGTGGTCCAGTTTTCTATGGGTGAACTGGAAATTACTCTTTGTGGTACCACGTTAATTTTGCCAGCTAATGACCTGTCTGAAAGAACAAGGTAAATGTCTCCACGCTGGAAATTTATGACCCCGTGACAGAGGGGCAAGTCCCCTCCAAAAAGCTAGTCAGAGTTGATTTCTGTCTCTTTCTCCACTATGGCAAAGGTAGCAGCACAAGATTTTGGAACTATGAAAAAGCAAAGAGCAGTCTCTATGCTAAGTTCTTCAACAAAAACAAAACCAAAAAAATCAGCCATTCTTCTCCAACAAAACTGCAAGTATTGCCACTTTCACAAAAAAGCTTTCTGCTATATGTTTTTGGTGTACAGCCACTATCTTGGTTAACTACACTTTTTCATGTAGTTGGAAACAAAAGCACCCCTGTTCTCTTATTCAGGCCTGTATAGAACACAGGCACCATGAATCCACAAGCACACCCAGGTAGGACACCTCCCTCGTCAGGCATCCTTTGCTGTCTGACAGAACAGAGCAGCTATGCAAGCATGCCCCTGCGCACCAGAAAACCCCGAGCTTTCTTCCAGACAGGATCAAACAAAACCGAGAATGCTCCACGAATGCTGGGAAGTCTGACCTTCCTCCCTTCCCCTCGGCCTTCATCGCTGAAGAAATATCTTAGCTGCCTGTGTAAACCAGCACTATGTATAAATGAAGTTAGTGGTTTAACTGCGTACCCATCATATAGCAAAAATACCTCTTTAACGGTCTAAAAAAAATGTAATTTGATATTCTTTTACCTACTTAATAGAAAATTCTGTATGCACAGAAACCAACAGCTCTAGAAAAAGGAACTGAGCAGCATCCTCCATGTGTCTCCACTTGATCTAAAGGTTGGTTCTTACAGCTGGAAGGTTAAATTGTTCTGCAAGTCACTTCATACTTCATCCTACGGGCTAGGATGGCCAAAAAGGACACCAATTTGTGCCAGCCAAGAGCATGTTTTTTCTGAACCAGACAGTTGTTCGTAAGAAACTGGGATGAAATCCCAATATTCATATTTCCCTCAGGCCTCTAAAGGGCCATGAGGTGCATTAACTTTCACCACAGAGTGATGAAAGAGAGAGAGCCACCACAGACCGAGGCTGGATTATGACCAGCAATTCTGCAGGGACAGATTCCTGTTTCTGCTCCTTGACCTACGAACTAGCTTTGTTTGATTTATTCTGAAATCCTCTCTTATAAAGGAAACATGGAGAGAAAAATCAGCTGGTTTAGGTATAAACTCTGTTCTTTTTTTATATCCCCCAAAGCACCTGCATGGCCAGACTTGCAAATAAACACACATTTTCTGTTCTTTGCATTAGAACACATTCTAGAAAATATAAACCTCTACTAATACGTAGGCAAACATGACAAAACATAATGATGGAGACTGCTGACACTAACAGAATGGAAACAGATAATCATAGAATTGTAGAATATGTCAAGTTGCAAGGGACCCGTAAGGATCATCGGGTTCAACTCCCTGCTCCTCGCAGGACTACCTAAAACTAAACCATATGACTAAAAGTGTCATCCAGACGCTCCTTGAACTCTGA